GGCAGGGTGCAGGATTGGGTTGAGGGTACACAGTCTGGTGGGTGGTAGAGTGTAGGAGAGGAGCTGGGCAGGAGTGGGCGATTATCTGGTGCAGTTCTTGGGGTGGGGGGGGCAAAGGTGGCTTTGCCTCATGCTGTGCTTGCAGGAATTGCCCCCACCGCTCCTTTTGGCAATAATTCCCAGCCAATGGGAGCAGCAGGTGTGGAAACCATGTACAAGTGCAGGGACAGAGCTTCCCTGTGCTGCCATTTGGCTGAGCACAGAGCCACTTGTTCCTCTGCCACTACCAAACTGAGCCCACAGGCTGGATGTGGCTTGTGACTTGCCTAGTCCAGCTTGCAAGGCTCACAGCTCCTCCAGGTGGCTGGACTGCCAGCACTGAGTCACTCTGCTGTGGCAGGGGGAGCCCTGGAACACGTGGGACAGGTTCAGCCCATGGGCCATAGGTTCCCCCTCCATGTTTTATGTGGTCCAGGCTTGTAGATACTATGCTATTGTCTAATATGTGTTTACCTTGCTGTTCTCTTTCAGACACAGATTTCAGAGGGGTAGCCATGTTAGTCTGTTTCCACAAAAACAATGAGGAGTCCTGAGGCACCTTAAAGACTAACACACTGATTGTCAACTACATGACGTAGAAACTTCAGTTTGGCAGAGATACATGCAAAGATGATAGGTGAATTATATTACTATGGTGAGGACCAGTGCTTAATGAGGTCAATTCAATCAGGGTGGATGTGGCCTACTGCCAGCAGTTGATGAGAAGGTGAGTACCAAAAGAAAATGTCAAGTTTGCATATGCCTTCCAGCTCTGCAGTTTCATGCTGAAGTCTGAAGTGTATATTTCAGCTCTTACTTCTTTCCATGTCCTACCTCTTCTTGAATATCCCTAGTTGGCTTATGTCACCCCTGAAGTATTAACATACATTTATTAAAGATGAATTTCATTTAAATTTAAGTTTTGTCTATGTGGCCAGTTATATATCTCTATACAAGTATAGCTCTGTACACTCTTATTCCAAAAATAAGAATGGCTTTTCAATTTAGCTTATACCCTTTCCCAAATGTCATAAGCTACGGGGGTGGAGAGAGAGGCACTTTTACACTGAAATAAGTGCTCCCGTAGAAGAGGTTGTCCCAATGTTATTACGTCAAGTTTAAATTCACATCTAGGATTACACTGGAAAAAAAACTTTTCTGTGTAGATAAGGACTTCATTATTCTCTGGCCCCCATCTCTCCTTTTAACTTCTCTAGATTCCTTTGTGTGGTGTTTTCTGCCTTCACAGGTGTTCCAGTGACCCCCTAATTTAGTTTAATCATTAGTATGCTATTACTCTGCCTCCACTACCAGATCATTAACAAAAGGTTAAATAACATCAGCCCCAATGCCAATTGCTGTGGAAACCCACTGTTACATATCTCCCCAGGGAACATTATCTTTTCCATTACTCTTTTTTTATAACCCTTAAGATAATATTCAATTCACATATCAGGGCTTGTTTTCAAGCCAATTCTGCTACATTTTTAAAACAAAATTTCATAGAAAATTCTATTAAGGACTTGGTCCAAAGTGCATTCAAGTTACTAAGAGAGTTCATTGACTTCATGAGCTATGGTTCAGGCCCTAATGGCTTTTAAAATCCATCTATATTACATCTACCTACTGCATTCTCTTCATCCAAAAAGCTCAGTTGTGTCTGATAATTCATTCTGATAATTCTGAAGAAGTGGCTTGTGCCCATGAAAGCTCATGATACCATCTACTTGTTTTGTTAAGTCTTTAAGGTGATACTAGACTATTTGTTGATAATTCATTGTCACTTTTATCTCTCATCTCATACGTATATAGTAGACGTGTAGGTATAAAATTCTTCAGTGAAAGTTCTTTGCTTGTGTTTATGCCTGGAACATTCCTGGAACAATGGTGGCAATTGTTAATTATTTTAATGTTTTAATATACTTTCAACTTATTAGGACTAGTGTCATGTTTGATTAATTTGATTGAAAGCACTGAGAGGACTAAGGGCATCTGCAGCAAAGTAATGCTTATTGGCTGAAAGTCTTTCTTTCTCAAAACTAATCCAATTATCACAGAAACTGGCTATGAAATGGAGTTCTAGGCACTCTACACATCATCCCAGATTTGTTCCCATTGTAAAAAATGAGTGTAGTTCCTGTCATGCTAACACTTATAAACAAACCTCAGGTCTAGGCAAACATCACCATGCTTCATGTTGAAACAAAAATAACAGTCAATATATGTACTCTTTAATTATCACTTCCTTTCTTATGGGAAAATTGGGTCAGATGCAAAACAAAGGAAGTGTGTCCCTTGTATCATGGCTCAGTTAGCTTTTTTTTCTTTCTTTCTTTTTTCTGATGTCTCTCCTTAACGTATCTAGTGCATCTAACATGTTTCTATCTATCTAGCACACCTTATCTAATCCTTAAAAGTTAGGCACTACAAAATGTTCCACTGGCCTTGACTAAGGCTGTGATTTGGCACAATCAGCTGCAGGATTTGCACGAAACTCCTGGCCACAGTGCCTTTTTGTGCATTTCACAAAGGGAAGAGGATAAATGAAACAATTATCTACTATTTGGTTCCTTTGTGGAAAGGTGTATGTGTGCTAAGAAATTATCTGAAAGAAAGCATGTCTTTGGGTATTGAAGGATACACCTTCCTGGGAGTGAACAGAAGGTGTTGACAACCATTCACAATTATGGATTTCATTGAAGATTGAAGTTCTGGGGGAAGCTGCCATGAGTCACTAAGGGGTTGTTAGCATCTCTCCAGGATCTTGCCTAAATCAACACGTCCAACAATTGTGGCAGGTATGCACACAATTACATGTAGAGCCACAAATAAAAGTGTTGTTGAGAAAAGTGAAGGTAGATAATGTGTTTCACTGGAATCTGTCTAACTCCCTAAAGCAGCGGTTCCCAACCTTTTTCAGATGGGGACCCATTTTGACAATTGAGGAAGACTTGGTGACCCAAGGCAATTCAAAAATGGGGGGAGGAGAGGGGCAGAGTCACCTGGGGAGACACTTGGCGACCCTTTTGAAATGTAATGGCGACCCATATTTGGGTCCCGACCCATAGGTTGGGAAACCCTTCCATAAAGCAATGCTATGTTTCCCAAACATAAGAGACAGTGGAAATGAACAAGTAAGGTATCCAGTCCATTCCTCAGTGCTGTATAGCCCTCGACCACTTACTGCTTTGGCAAAAGAACTGTTACAATTACAAGCTATTACTTTAAATTTGTACGGGGTTTTCTGGTTCTGCTTGCAGTCTAGTGAACTCTTCAAGGAAGTGCACGACCTACGTTTGAACCAATCATTCTACAAAGAACTAGCTTAGAACAAAGCGGGTTGGATTTTGTCTCTGCTCTGGAATGCTAGAATTATGAGCTCTGTGAAATAAAGCCATGTTATTCTGCAACCTTTCATTCTACAAAGAACTAGCTTAGAACAAAGCGGGTTGGATTTTGTCTCTGCTCTGGAATGCTAGAATTATGAGCTCTGTGAAATAAAGCCATGTTATTCTGCAACCTTTCAGATAGGTTCACAGCATACAATGAAGACAGAATATGTATTTTTTCCTATCCCCTCCACCTTCCCCACATCACTCCCCCAACCTTAACTTCCCCCTTCTACGCTGCATTAAATGTCAAGCTTCTGGTCCTTAACTTTCCAGCTGGCCATACTTTAGACCCTTTGGGTGAAATGCTGTCCCCGCTGTAGTCAGCAGCAAAACTAATTAGTGCCAGATTTTCACTTGTTGTACTCATCAGCTTTTTTTTTTTTTTTTTTTTTTGTGCTGGTGATGCAGCTGCTATTTATTCTCCTGTAAAAGAGAATCAACACGTAAGGCCCTTGGTAATGGAGCAAATTCTTCTCTTTTTACATGAGCCCAATTTCCACTGACTGGAGTTACATTGATCTATCTCCCATTGGGCTGTGTCTAGACCGCTGTTCTTTTGCTTGAAATGACCCTTAAAATTAGTTGGTATAGCTTTAGGCTGTATTAACTTCTCCGTGGATTCTGTATCTTCCTGAGGACAGAGAAAAATTTCCTGGACAGAGGAAGGGTCTTTCCAATGGGGCTGCAATGGAGCAATAGCAGTCTCAATAGATCACACATAGGAAAGTAGCTTGGGGCACTAAGGAACTGAATTGTAGTGGGAGTACAGAACCTCCACACAATATGGCCTTGTCTTGCCATACATTCTCTGCAATAAAATAAAATGGGTATCACTAATAACAAACTAATTAGAGAAATTAAAATAATAAAAGTAATCATATGGTGTGGCTTACTCTTTAAGCTGATCACATTTGAGAGGAAGAAAGAAATTTGCCTTGATGCAAATGTGAAGAAACTATGATCCCTTTGTTTTCTTTGTACAGTACCATGATATTTCTAAGAACTATGAGCAGAAACTGCAGCCATGCAGATAATTAAGGTTAAGTAAGTGAGTGCAAAAAAGTTTACATGCTCAGTGGAAGTAATTTGGGCTACAGGAGTATATGATTGGTGCTTTTTGTTTGAGGAAAAGAACACTAAATTGCATAACTAGCTCTGTGAATTATTTTTCCCACCTTGCTTTAAAGGTATCATATTGTCCTTTCAGGGTGGCAGAAAAGTACTAGATAGGATCTGTTATGGTATGGGAATGATCTATTATGGTATGGGAAATCCGATATTCCTCTGTGTCAGTAATACTCTTTCAGGTAGTTATGTTATATTACTTGTCTGGACAGTGAGGTTTCACACTCACAAATGCAAAACCCATTTCAAAGACTTATCTGTTATGTAAGTATTTAATACAATTTCCTCTCATTGTTTCTTTTTGGCAATTAAGGCAACTGATTTACATGATAGCAGTTTAGCACTATTGTGTTGAGAATCAGAGGGAAGCAAGGTTCTCCCGTTGTCTTTCCTCTTAATTGAGCAAGAGTTCCTGGCTTATATAAAAACAAAAAATTTCAGTCACAATCCATTTCAGCCCAGTCTTCTGAAGGAGAAAGAAGCCATGGCTTCCTAGGCTAAAGCTGACCATCTGAAAAGCTGATTTTGTTTGAACTTCTGCAAAGAAAAAGGTATTTATTTCTTATGAAACAGATTATAAAAATTTTATTTTATTGCAGAGAATGTATGGCAAGACAAGGCCATATTGTGTGGAGGTTCTGTACTCCCACTACAATTCAGTTCCTTAGTGCCCCAAGCTACTTTCCTATGTGGGATCTATTGAGACTGCTATTGCTCCATTGCAGCCCCATTGGAAAGACCCTTCCTCTGTCCAGGAAATTTTTCTCTGTCCTCAGGAAGATACAGAATCCACGGAGAAGTTAATACAGCCTAAAGCTATACCAACTAATTTTAAGGGTCATTTCAAGCAAAAGAACAGCGGTCTAGACACAGCCCAATGGGAGATAGATCAATGTAACTCCAGTCAGTGGAAGTTGGGCTCATGTAAAAAGAGAAGAATTTGCTCCATTACCAAGGGCCTTACGTGTTGATTCTCTTTTACAGAAATTTGGGTGTGATCTGATGGAGTTAATATATTGGCTATGAGTGTATCTAAGGGAGAGCTGGCTAGAAAATGGAAATTCCTTCCTAAGGAAAAAAAGGGCTTTAAATGACTTTTTCCAGCCTAATTTGGGAGAAAAAGTTAAGAGCGCAGTTTTTAATTTCAGGGCAGGATTACCAGAAACATTCCATTGTGAATAGAATTTTTCAGCTTGATGGCTGCCACCTTGGAAGGCTCTTTTTAAGTTCACTTTCTCTTAGAAGAGGCAAAGGGTGAAAAACAAAGCAAATGGTAAAACTCCCATTGACTTTGGTGAAGTCAGGATTTCACCTCAGATCTATGCCTTGTGTACACTTATCTCAATGGGCGGTCAGACATCTTTGTGTTGTAAAGGGGTGCAAACGTGTTCAGGGTTGGAAACATTTGCCTGCATAGATTAGCGTGGACCTTTATAGACAGGCAGTCCCCAGGTTACATGGATCCGACTTACATCGGATCCCTACTTACAAACGGGGTGAGGCAACCCTGCACTAGCTGCTTCCCCCCAGCAGACCAGGGAGACGCGGAGTGGCTTTTCTCAGCAGACACCTCAGCTTGAGAATAAAGGACTGAGGGAAGTGAGGTGTGGGAGAATAAAACTGAGCTCTGGAGAAATGTTTGGCTAGAGTTTCTCCTACAATATGTACCAGTTCCGACTTACATACAAATTCAACTTAAGAACAAACCTACAGTCCCTATCCTGTACGTAACCCGGGGACTGCCTGTATATCACTCTTCCCTGAGGCAATATCATTTATAGGCCCACCTTGTCTTTCTAATGTCCAGACCCATACACTTACATCACTGAAATTCTTCCCCAGAAACATTAGGGAAAATATAAATCCTTAGGTAGCGTCTGTAGATCCTAGCTGGGTATTACAGTTGAGTGAGCTAATTTTATTTTTGCTGGACTGTCAAATAGTTGGTAATTGAAACTTAGTATTGAAGAGTTTTAATTTTTGTAATAATTTGGTAACAATTGTAGCGTGAGGTGTATACAGCCCAAGGTAGACACCAAGTAAATTAGAATCATACAGCCATCCCATTGATCCTGTGCTGATAGCTCATGTTACTTACTGAAAATGGAAAACACCATTATGCTTTTCTTTTAAAGTATGGATTTGTAGGGTAATGTTATTGGATTATCATGAAAGACCATTACAATTCCATTTTCCAGTATGAAGCAGAACCTGAAGCACAAGCTAAATGTGAGTCAACAGTGTGACACTGTTGCAAAAAAAAAAGGATGCATTAACAGGAGTGTTGTGAGCAAGACATGAGAAGTCATTCTTCCACTCTACTCTGCGCTGATTATGCCTCAGTTGGAGTATTGTGTCCAGATCTGGGCACCACATTTCAAGAAAGATGTGGGAACATTGGAGAGAGTCCAGAGAAAGCAACAACAACAAAAAAGATTAAAATATAACCTATGAGGGAATGTAAGAACATAAGAACGGCTGTACTGGGTCAGACAAAAGGTCCATCTAGCCCAGTAGCCTGTCTGCCGACAGTGGCCAGCACCAGGTCCCCCAGAGGGGGTGGATCGAAGACAACAATCAAGAGATTTGTCTCCTGCCTTCCTTCTCCAGCCTCTGACAAACAGAGGCCAGGGACACCATTTCTATCCCCTGGCTAATAGCTTTTTATGGACCTAACCTCCAGGAAATTAGCTAGCTTCTCTTTAAACTCTGTTATAGTCCTAGCCTTCACAGCCTCCTCTGGCAAGGAGTTCCACAGGTTGACTATACGCTGTGTGAAGAAGAACTTTCTTTTATTAGTTTTAAAACTGCTACCCATTAATTTCAATTGGTGTCCTCTAGTTCTTCTATTATGGGAACTAATAAATAACTTTTCTTTATTCACCCTCTCCATACCACTTATGATTTTATATACCTCTATCATATCCCCCCTCAGTCTCCTCTTTTCTAAACTGAAAAGTCCCAGTCGCTTTAACCTCTCTTCTTATGGGACCTGTTCCAAACCCCTAATCATTTTAGTTGCCCTTTTCTGAACCCTTTCCAAGGCCAAAATATCTTTTTTGAGGTGAGGAGACCAGATCTGTACACAGTATTCAAGATGTGGGCGTACCATAGTTTTATACAGGGGCAGTAAGATATTCTGTGTTTTATTTTCTATTCCTTTCTTAATAATTCCTAACATCCTATTTGCCTTTTTGACCGCTGCTGCACACTGTGTGGAAGTTTTCAGAGAACTATCCACGATAACTCCAAGATCTCTTTCCTGATTTTTCATGGAACGAGGTGTACCGGTAGCTCAAATTAGAGAGCCTAATTCGAACTACCTACTCTGTGCTGCATGTAGCCACGGGCACGGAGTCCGCATTAATGGGGATTTAAAAATGGCGGCACCCGGCAAGATGCAAATGAAGCCTGGGATATTTAAATCCCGGGCTTCATTTGCAACTTCGAATGCCTACATTGGCCACCCTAGTTCCAACTAGGGTGGCAGTATAGACATACCCTCAGGGATGATCTAGACGGTGCTTGGTCCTGCTGTGAGGGCAGGTGACTGGACTTGATGACCTTTCGAGGTCCCTCCCAGTTCTAGTGTTCTATGATTCTAATACAAAGAAATTCATGAGGACAAAAAAACAAACTCTTGTTAAGAATCAAAATGAGCGCCCCCCCCCCAAATAGTTCTCAGTATGTTAAATATTGACAATGAATGTTCTAACATCTCTTTTATTATAACAGATGATCTCCTTCACAGTCCTGCTAATAGAGTTAGCACTGCCCATTGTAATAACAGGTAGGAATGCATGTAGTTTCTAATACTTAAGCAAATGGAACTTTTTATTCCTTTTACAATAATTTCTTTATTCCTTATATAATTCTGCCAAACTTACTATGGCAACAATACCATCAGTGTCCAAAGACATGAAGAGAGCTGTTACTTATTGCCTGTGCTCTGCACCAAATGTGCTGCGGGCAAAATCCTTCCCTCTCACTGACTCCCATTTAAATCAGTGGGCTGACATGGACTATGAGTAATGCCCTGGTGAGTTGAATGGGACTCTGCAGGTATGGAAGTTTGCCAGCATGAAACTCATTTTCTGAAGTAGTTAGAAGCATTTGAAATAGAAATAAGGAGAAAAAGAAGTTCTGATTTAGATATCCATTCACTTACTGGGTTGTGCCACAAAAGCTCAGGATACCATCTACATTTTTGTTAGTCTCTAAGGTGCTGCATGACCATTAATTAAGGGTGTTTTTTTTATTAGAGACTCTCACCATTAACTAATATATATAGATTGGCATATCAAGATTATGTTCTGTGTAAAAATTAGAGTCAACATTTTGAAACTTAGGTATTTGAATAGATGTTTCAATTGTTCAGCACCTCCTTAAAATCATGCTACTTAGGCCTGGATCCTGCAAGTTACAATTAAAAGGTGGACCCTCGAATCCTCGAATCAGTGGAGGATCATCCTATGTAGTAACTTGCAGGATAGGAGCCTGATTTATATGCTTAAAATGTGGAGTTATGTCATTACCTTTAAGCACCAAAGTTAGAAAATTTTGACCTAGCGTAATAGGTGTTAACGAGTGAAATGTTTCAGGAAAGCAAATACAAAAGGGACATGCATAGAGCCAAAGTAAATTCATATTTAAATTGGAACAGATATTCCAGGAAATGTATTTGCATAACTTGGCCAGCTGTGTGCTTATCTGCACAATTTGGTCCAACTGAGTCACATGGTATGTAACCGAGGTCAGGGATTGGCTGAAAATGTGTATAATGCTGCCATTTCCAGCACTTATGTTTTCAGTGGGTATTTGATTATTTTCATTCTAATCAGGTTCCAGTAAGTACTTTAAAAATTATATTTATTACAGTGGCATATCTGAGGTCATTAGTCAAATCCCAGAATTTCATTCAGAAAAATGTCCGTCTGCCCTGTTGAATAATATGCTCAGACAATTTCTGTAAAATATAGGCCAGATATTCAGCCCTAATGTAAATTGACCTTGGAGTGGATCTTTTGTTCTGCTGGTAAAAAATGGGACAGTTCCATTGTAGCCACTCAAGTAGCTCCACAGATTTCCCCATGCTGAACTGTTGGGACAGTGAATTTTAAGACTGCATGGAACTCAACTGAAGTTGGCTGATTTATACCAGCTGAGAACTTGACCCATAGACCGTCACATGAAGCTCCCAGGTGATAAAACAATTGCTTGATTTTTACATATCAAATTGTGCTTTGATATCCAGGATCATCAGATTTGTTGCTGGCAGAGGGACAAACAGAGGAGCCATCTCTTCCCCGCTGCAGTCTTTTTGGAGATGATCACATCAAAACATTTGATGAGTCTTTCTATGACTTTGCTGGGGACTGCAGTTACCTCCTGGCTGGGGACTGTCACAAGCGTTCCTTCACGCTAATAGGTGAGTTGGAGTAGGATGTCAGAGAGCAGCAAATATGGAACATTATTGGGACTTCAGTATCCCCCTCTATTAGTTCTTCCACATGGGGGGAAGAACACTAGTAAAGTTTCCAATGCTGCCTTTTGCCAGAGAGGAAGGACAGCTAAACCAATGAGTCTTGGCGGCTCTACGGACCTATCTACAAAGACCTCCTGTTTCTCCAAAGTGGCTTTTAATGGTTCTTGTCTTGATAAATTACTGTAGAACAGAGATTTCCTCATTCGCTCTTGTGTAATGAGGAAAAGTGGGCAGTATTTTAAGTGTTGCCAGGATAGAGAAGATTTTCAAAGCAGACTAAGGGTATGTCTACAGCACTAATTTGAACTAACAATTCAAATTAGTTAATTCGAACTAGTGCATCTAGTCCTAAAAACTAGTTCAAATTAGCATTTTGCTAATTTGAACTAGCATGTCCACATTGAGTGGACCCTGAACCGAAGTTAAGGCTGGCCGGAAGCAGTGCTGGCAGGACATCAGGTTAGGACTTAGAGTGTGGAGCTGCTGCCTCAGGCTAGCCGAGGGCTGTGCTTAAAGGGACCTGACCCCCACCCCGGACAGACAGTTCTCAGGGTTCCCCGCTTGCTTGTCTGCCTCGATGAGGGACAGCAAAGCAGTCCTGGCTTGGAGTGCCCCGAATGCC